AAGAAGATATACTTTATTGATCCCCTGAAATTGTTCTTTTCACTCTTTTTTATACACAAACACAGGCTGAAATGCACACATCATGCTCTTGTGGACATGCAAAGGGGAGAGAGATGGTGGAGTGATGGGGCTGCAACGTTACCGGCGCCTCATGAGCAGGTTTGGGGTTAGGTGCCTTGCTCAAGGGCACCTCGGCAGTGCACAGGAGGTGAAACTGGCACCTCTCCAGCTACCAGTCCACACTCCATATTTTGTGGTCTGTGGGACTTTAACCGGCGACCCTCCGGTTCCCAAGTCAAGTCCCTACACACTGAGCTACTGCTGCCCCAAACTGAGTGCAAACGGGACTAAGTCTAACACCAGTGATCTTGTTAGTGTTTCTCCAAATTATGAACACATTTTGTAATCAGCCTTTCTTGCATGCAAATGTTTTACGACTTTACTGGAATGAATAAACATGTTTGCAGGTACTTCTGCTACATTTTAGTCATCTGGAAAGGTACATTTGTGCTGGGAGAACAGCAGGTGTGAGCTGTTTTGCTGTGGAAAGCAATTAAGAAAATTTCTCATGAAACCTATAACAATGTAAGGTGGTAGCTGTCAGTTTCCCCATTAACAATGTCTTAAAAACAATAATAATTATTTTATTTTTCTGTTTCTGAAGTCCACTGAGTTGACTGGGGGATGCGGCTTTAATGTCTCAGAACAAATGTGGTAATGATTTTGTTTTTTAAAAAACGACCACGACAAAAGATCCTCATCCACTTTAAAGTATGACTGATAATAGACTCACCAGTTTACCAGAAACCCCTTTCGTACAATTACGATAATTAGAAAAACAACAATGAGAAGAAAAAATAAACTAGGCTCATATTTCTCAGAGGGATGTGCCTGTTTGTTCAAAGGGCTTCAGTTTCCATGACTGAGCTCTCCTGAGGAAAACGATTCCCATCAAGTGTCTTCACTGCCTTTCTCTGAGAACTCGGGACAATCAGTCTTCCCAACACGACCGCATGAGAGGCCCGGCTCCCTGGAGACACTGCAGCAACGACGCTGAATCACCAACAAACTCTAACCTACATCCAACAAGGTCAAAAAACAGAATGTGGGCATTTTTACATGTAAAAAGATGAAAATAATGGGAGGAAATGCGTAGTAACTCCTTTAGAGTTCTGGGGCTTTGGGAGCAAACTCTATTGTGTCAGGTAATGTATCAGTCAATAACAAGCTGCTAATATGGAATTAAATAATGAAAACCGTGTGTAGACCGGGGTAGGCAGCTCTTTAGCCCCTCTCCAGTGGCTCCACATTTTCATTTATCATTGTTAGCCTAAAGGGATTTTTATATTCTCCAACTGTAAAAATAAAAACTGCCATTACAAACTCAAAATGAAAAGTTCTGTTTACTAAAATGTACTAAAATGTGGGTCATACCTTAGGTCTTGACCTGCCGCCTTTCTTCTATGTTTTGTCAAACCACAATAGCAGTGGCTACTAGTATTGAGTCTGCCTAGATAGGTTAGCTATGAATTTCAAAATCCCCCCCCAAAAAAGTCTCTGAGGATAATATAGAATTTGTGTTGTTTTCTGCTGGCTTATATGTATGCTTGATCTGTGGCAAGAAATTAGCATTTTAAGGCTCAAAAATCCAGGGCTCCAGAGAGGTTTTATGATAGTAGAGGCTATTGACCTCTGGTGTAGACAAAATAAACTGATGAAATACTATTACCAAGTGTCATCTTTCTAGCACTCCCTCTGAATAGAGTAAACATGTGTGTGTGTGTGTGTGTGTGTGTGTGTGTGTGTGTGTGTGTGTGTGTGTGTGTGTGTGTGTGTGTGTGTGTATGTGTGTGTCTGTAATTACATGACATAATAGACTTTTAACAGAACTGGTTTATCACAACATACTTTACGGCACAACACAGAGCACACATGGAAAAACAAGTGTGAGCATGTGTTGCACCAATGCCACAGCCATTAAGTCACATATTATTAACTCGGAGTATATAGCACATTACTAATAACATGCGGCTCATTGCCATTTATATTGCCTACAGCAGCGCCCGAATCGTGCAGAATTGTGAACCTCGCTCCTCCTCTGATTCCTGCAAAGTTTACACCTGCAGTACTGCACCTAGAAATACGAGCTGTGGGCAGGGAGAGGTTAAACCCTGGTCTTTCCTCTCTGTGCTCTCAGCCAACACCCACCATCTATTTGTGCTGAGTGTAGGCTTACACCGACGGAGGAGCACAGAGGAAGGGAGGGATACAGTTGGGAAAGAATGGAGAAGGTGGGAGAGGGAGGTCAAGAGCTCACAATGAACAACAAATACAAGACTGAGGCAAATATTGAAACAGCTCAAATATCCCTCAAAATGAATCACACAGGTTTCTTAACAATAAACTAGACAGATAATACAACAAGACTCCTTGGCTCTAGGCAGCCATTTTGCATCAGATTTCTCCTTGAACAGCTTCAGTGGTTGTGTTTTACATTGTATGAACATAGAGGGAGGCACATCTATTCATATAACATTCATGTTTGGTTTGACCCAGGCAGGGCAGGGTGTGAGTGACAGACAGCATGCCAGAAAAATTGCTTTGTGATAGTATCTGCTGCTTTTATTTGGCTTTTGAATTTCACAACAAAAGATGATTGGAGAGAGATATAGTATGCTGCCAAAGTGGAGAACAGGAGATTAATATTTAGAGGTAAAGGTGACTGTAGTGGAGATAAACAAAAGGCTCCCATTGAAGAGCAGTGAGTAGGAAAGTAAAGAAGATAATAGAGAAGAGAACCTTCAGCATCTGGAGATTAGGGCTGCACAAATAATCGAAATATGATCAAGATCCAAAAATGGCCAAGTGCAATATCCAAATTGCTAAGTTCTTTTGGTAAAGGTTAAATGTGCGACAAAACAGCTTTATATTAAAGTACTATAGTAATGCCCTGGCCTACAAATCTTGTTCTCCAGATGTAAGACCCCCCCAAAATGTCATATCATCACGATATTGTTTTTTCTTTTTTTTTTTTCAGGGAAAATTTAATTTGTGATGCAAAGATTATCATTCCCATTAATCGTGAATAATGTCACAATCGCAATATCTGCCTTCTGTAGATTTAGATAAATTTTTTGATCTACAATAAGAATGTAAATAGTCCCAAAATGCAGACAAAACCCCACTCAGCCTCTGTTTCCATATAGGCTAATGGTCAGCATAATTACAAGCTCTACCATGTTGTTATTACATGGTTGGGCCAACCTTACATAAGCTTGGGGTTGACTTGATGATTATTTGGGTAGGTGACGTGGGTGGCAAAAGGGAAGGGAGAGGCAAAAGGGTGGGATGCAGCAGCTACCCAGACCTGACCGACCAACCCAACCCAGACGTTAATCCCAGACTTGTGACAGCGAAATGGTGAGGCTTATCAAGTTCAGCAGTCTGTGGATGTTCCCAGAGATGGAAAAATACCCCTAAGCTCTCTGAAAAGCCAGGGGGGAGCTGAAAGTGCACAGCAGAGCAGATCTGCACATGCATGAGCCACCATCCCTCCAACTTTACCACTATCACCAGTACTGACACAACAAGGGATGAACACGCCGCCGAACATCAGACCATTATGCAACACACGTCTGTCTAGGGCTTGTGGCATTAATACAGAAAACCAATGCTCCACCACTGTGGTACATTCCACATAAACACATGACCTCTGGGACTTTTCCTGAGGGTGGTGGTGTGGACTCACATTTGTGATTATCAGAAGTTTATCAGTATCACTATGGAGGACCAAAGGTGTCATGTAAATGGTTAAAAAGCTGTTTGATCTAGAAATCCCATTATTTATTATGGTAGCCTTTTAATTACTAAATGCTGTGTTTATTGATTGTTTTATGTTGGTTTCTTTAAACTATTATATCAATGTAACCTATTTATTGATGGATTAATATTCATTTGTAAGAATATGTTTTATTACCCATGTATACATCCACAAATTAATCTCTAGTAACTGAATGCATGTAATAATGGATTAATTAATGAATTTGTAAAATATCTGATTAATTCCTATCCAATTAGATATCAGTGACTTGAATGCTTTCACATGACACCTGTGGTCCTCCATATGCATTTAACCCATTAAAGGGTTAACCATAACCCTTTAATAACCCCATTGAAGATTAATGGCAAAAGCCAAATGTTGACAACTATAACCACAATATGTGTCACTGATATGATTCATTTTCCAACATGTCATTATCTGTTGGTTGCTCAGGCGGAGGAGGCAAAACATTCCTAACTGAAATTAAATGCTAAACAATGGTCAGTGGAGCAAAGTAGAAGGAAAATCTTGAGAAACGGACTGTATGTGGGAAGTGGGGACATTCTTGAGAAGATTCCTGGCAGACAAAATATTGAAAATGAGGAATAAGCGGGGCGCACACATGCATATCAAATTTCCATAAACAAACATTCTGCTTCCTGAGGCTCTGTAAAGTCCTGCAAAGTTTTTTGGTGAGTATGATTGGAGCATGCAGCAGCCCTGTGAGCAGAATGAGAATATTTCCTCTTGTGTTTGGCCATTGTGCAATTTAATGTCACATTTCAGCCTGGACAACATTGCAGTTGGGATCCTGCATAAACAAAAAGGCTGCTCTTTAATATTGGACTCAGGTATGGAAATCAGTTGCCTCATTTGCCTTTTAAACGAGAGACTGGGATAAAATAGCCTCTATACTGTCCTGAGGATCTTTCGTCTCATTAAAAACATGTTTCATTGACATTTTAAGGGCGTAAATAAACAATCATAGCTGAGTTCCTATTATTTAACAAATTCCTGAGTTGCTGTCATCATGTGCAAAACACACAAACACACTGAGAGACAGGCAAGAAACTGCTGACAACACCACAAAGGTCATCTCTTCCTCTGGCTGATAACACTGAGGCGCATTTACAAGATAAAACAACGCATTATGCTGACTTACTTAGTGTCCATAACTTACCAACAAAAACGCACAGCACGTCCATCACCACGTAAAGCTTCTTCTTCCTCAGCTCCTTCATCCTCTTCCCGTTTACTTACTTTCAAATCGACAACTTTAAGAGAGAATAACTACTTTTGCAAAAGGCTAAACAAGTCCATCGGCGCTTGCTCGCTTTGAAATAAAAGTACAGGCTATGAAAACAACCTGGTAACCTGCACTACGAGTTCTTCCGGGATCCTCTTCTCTACCTGTGCTGTCATTGGCAGCATAGGTGTGTGACTCTCTTAAAAAGACAGCGTGTTAAAAAGAAGTTTCTGAGCAGATACGCGGCCCTTTTGCGCGCATTACTGCTTTGGGTACAAAACCAGAACTGGAGAGATCCTCCTATTTCACGGCGCTGAAGGCGTCCGGAGAATCCAGTTTTAAGTCTTCTCTCAGCACACACACCACGCCACTGCACTGGTCCCTCCTCCCAACTTCCTCGTCTGGCTCCTCTCTGGCTATCTGATTATCGACAGGCTCCAAGTTTTTACGCACAGGCGTGCAAAGGGGAAGACAGAAAAGCTCTCAGCGGTTTGCTTTATATTTTGCAAACCAACTTGTTAGAAAAATGTCTTATGAGTAGAGAGGACTCAGACACTGTTAGGATTGAACCAGGAGGAGGCGCCTGACAGCAGTAAACCAGTCACAAACTGCTCTGTCAGGGCTAAAATACTTAAAAGAAATTGAAAAAAAAGGGGGAAAAGTCAATACCTGAAACAAATGGCTGTCATTACACCTGACCTTATAAACTGAGGTAATATGGACTTAATCAAGAACATACAATCATGGGATTTAAAAGGCAATACAATAGGGCTGTTGCTTTAATTGAGGACTCAGCACTGCCCCCATTTCTGAAATCTTCACATAGATGAGAGCCCTACATGATCTCATCCCATCATACACTTCAATTTCCCCATGAAAGCCCGGCAGGACAAACACTTGAACTGCTCAGTCCCGTTGAGAGCTTAACCTTTCCCAGAGTGCACTCCTCTTCCCATATATGAGAGAGATTTATATTGAAGCTGACAAAACGGGTTCCTAATAAGGTCCAAACATATTAGTCAACACCTTCATGGCACTGGGAGGTGGACCCACACTGAGCACACTTGGTGGGTGATTAAAAAATATAGAGGACAAAACCTCTAGCCCTAAAAAAGCAGGGAGACTTTTATAAGCCCTGCTGGGACTGTAGCAAAATTAGCATGACTTAACACCAGCATGACTCTGGGGCCACACTGTTATTTTGCTCCAAGCAGCCAGGATGTTTCCCCACCAGCAGTCAATACCAGGCCACCACTTGCTAGCTGCACCGTGCCATGTGTATAGAAGAGTCATTTGTGTGTATTAACAGTTAACTCTGTTTGCATGACTAACACTACGTTTACCCCAAAGTCTATTAGTTCAGCAGCCTTGAGTTAAGTAGGTAATCTTACATGCACAAACTCTGTCTTGCAGCTTTATTTGACTTCCTGCACGTTAGCAAACGGTAGAATTAAATGTATTAAAATAAGATTCTATCCAGCAATGTCCAATGCCAAACGTGATGGCATGCACATGAATGAAATGTCAATAACATACAGAAGAATATAGGAAAAAAGGAACAGTATGGAGACACAAGTGCAACTGTACAATGAACACATATAAAACTGAGAACCCTCTGCCCCCTTCTGGTTGTTTTTTAACAGCAAGCTCATTTCAGCAGAATATCTAGTAAAATGACAGATTAACCTTCTGTAAAGCATCAACTTCTTTTTTTCTTTTTGTAAATTACAAAGCTAGACTTATAGACAGGGTTGAGATTCCCAGATTTATTCAGACATTTTGCAAGAAAGAACTTAACAAATATAGTCCTAATCCATAAGGGAATGCCTTTTAATATCATATTTGTTATTTTAGCAACCTAGTTTAGCTTTGTGAAGTAAAATAACACCAACAAGCAGATGGCTTGTTGAGTTAATGTTGAGAATATGCTCTACGTAAATTCAGTTTGTTTGAGTGAGCATAAACTAATCTCCTGGGTAATTTCATAGATAAGAGGAGAATGGCATACATTTGAAACTGCTGAGGCTGGGGTGGAAAGGATGGGAATAGGTCTTGACTACAGTTGTTATTAAATGTAATAAGAAAATGACAAGAATCTGCACTGATAGCACTGATCTTTAAATATCCCCTCCATACATGTATTAAGACATATATAAAATAGTCTGCTTGAAACAATAATGTGTGTCTGATCTGCTTTTCCTTTAAAAAAAAATTCTACATTAAAATCCTTAAAAAGACATCTACTCATTCTACCTCATTAAAAATTCCAGAATCTGTGAATGTGCTAATTTTGTTGATTTGGAAAATGTTCCTGCTGGACACAAGATGTCTTACTGTAAAGCCCATTGTACACCACTTGTATAATTTGCATACAAAATACTTAACACTAAATAGCTTAATACTTCCAGTGTCAAACTACATACTTCATTCTGCACAGTGAAGCCCAAACATCCAACTTTAGGAACAAGAATCAAACTATTTTTGAGTGGAGGGGGACTTTAGGCATGATTTTTTTTCCTTGGTGTGTCCTGCAGCTCTCTGTGGCATGGTTCATGTCACCTGTTCAGTGTCTCTGTGATGTCTTACTTACTTAGTTACTACTTGTTTTTGCAAAAAAAAAAAAAATTAAAAAACATTAAATAAAAATAAAATATTCCTATCAGAATGTATAGTTGTCTGTTGTCATGGCCAGCAAAGAACCGCCATCATATTAGCAAAAGATGGTCCTTTCTGGACTAAGTCAAATTTGAATTCACTGTCCATGAAGCTTTTCCCTGTATTCACCTTGTACAACAGTACAAATGATAAGTCTAAACTAAACTAACAGTGTAATGTGTTCTTAGCTTGTTTTAAAGGATGCCATATTCATTTCAGTGCTGCCTTAAATGTGAAATTCGGAGTTAAAACACAAGGGACTACATAGAAAATGGAGAAATGTTATTATTACAAAATTGCCTGAACTGTAGGCAAATTGTCTGTGATGGCACAGAAACACAAAATGTACACTGAAACTATTATTATTTTGGTCATAAAGTAAAACAAACAAACAAAAGGACAAAGGTTCACCAAGAATCCCCATGTGCTTTTCTTTAGCTATGCATGCTCATACATTTAGAATTATTTAGAGGATGCACATATATTTCCAAATGGAAAACAATGAGCTTCAACAGTGTTCTTCATTATGCAGTTCATTTGTTATTTTTGAAGTTGAAGTGTGATCCACTTCCTCAGAGTAGAAGCTTTCTGTTGCGCGTTCAGAGTTGGAGATCCAGGAGGTCAGACTGCTGAGTGCAGGGTCAGGAACCAGAGGCCAGATAGTCTGCTTTATCCTGGCAACAAGAAACAGACTATAAAGTTCAGCAGGCCATTAAATACAGCAAATATTTTGTACATTGACTTGTTAATCTTTGGAACAAATGAACATTGCTAGCTGAATGCAGGTTTTCTAAAGAAAATAATCTTTAACCTGAGATAGCCAATATTGCGGTATGCTAGGGCCTATTAGATATTGTCAATGCAAATTACACATTTCAGCATTTGTCTAAGCTATGATAAAAAGAGCAGTGTTATACAGTTCCACGTTTAGCCAATAATAGGTACCAGTCACACTGTTAGCTGTGGGCTTTTTTAGCGTCAGCTGAAATGCAATAGACTACACAGAATTACATTCTCAGTCTCACACTCACTCATACTCAGGCAACTCTGATACTTTAAGCATCTACTTTTTGCTTGTGCACAGCACCTTTATTAAAAAACATCAGAAAAACACAAGATAAATAAAAAAACATATTAACTTTATGTGTCCTCCCAGAACTGTCTAACTGTACATAACCACTTTGCATTTATTCTCCTCAAATAAACAGCTTGCATTATTAGCAGCGTAGCTCCTAATCAGCCAGAGAAACCTGGGCTGGAGAACAGGAGGCCAGAAGAGATAAAAAGACAGTTGCAATAAGGGCTTTTCCTGCTGTACTGCACTCCACTCTTATTCTCTCATATCACTCTTATGTATTAAAAACATGTGCTAATGTAGCTGAAACTAAAATCTAGAAATGAATTAAATTGTATACCTCATGCATACATTAAGGAACTTAACTGCTACATTACAGCTCTTCATTAGAGCGTATTGGTGATCACCAATACTGGATAGTTCTCTGCGAGTAGGTGAACCTGTACAACATGGACATGTACTGCACATGATGCATAATTATGACAATTTAATCAAAGTTACTCAAAGAGGTCTCAGTCTATATTTCACATTATTATATATTGCTTAATATATTGTTTTTTTTATGGTTAAAGGCGACTGGAGTTCTGGTCATCTTATAAAAAGACTAATGATCTGAAAAATACCTAAAAGATGAGACTACTTCCCTTGTTACCTTGTAAATTCACAGTTTTTCTAGTTATAAGTTGAATCAACTGCTTTATTCTGCCTTGTTTGGAGACACTTAACACTTTTCCGAAAATCATAGACTTTTTATTTTGCACAATATTGTTGCTGGTATACAACTGAAGTGCTAGAATATCACTCACTGTCTACACACAGCAAGGATGAGGAGCAAGACCACAATGAACACAGGAAGGACGACGCAAACCAGGATGGTCCTTTTTGAATAGTCGTCTTCTGACAAATACACAGATTCATTCATGAGCACACACAAAAGTACAAGGAACACAGCAGCCATGTAAAGTTTTTATTTAAAGCAATGACAGTGCATGTGTTGGTTCTTACCTACAGTAACCCACTGATGTGGACTGGCTCGTTCTTCTCCTGCCACCGTGTGAGCTGTCATATAGATCTGATAGACTCCCGATAGATCAGTCAAACGGTAGTTCAGTGTCTCATCTGACACTGTGTGCACTTCACCTGCACCACAATATTAAAAAAAATGGTCCACTTATCTGCAGTGTACTGACATTGGTTTGATAAAGATTTAGCAGAGACCTAATGAAATATATAATTTCCCCATGCAATCGAAAATAAATTTTATTACCATACAAAACAAAAATACTGTTAAAACTGTTAATATTTTCATGTCACTGTATAGTTTCTGTGGGCTGTGTGAGGCACAACACAGAGTACAGTATGTGGGCCAATTCTCTGTGTGAGTTTAAACCTACTTGTTGCATTGTTCTCCTTCTGACAGTAGAGGCTGTATTGGGGATGAAGCCATGCTGCTCATCCACAGGCGGAGGCTCCCGCACCACGAGGACGGCATTGTTGCTCTGTTCCTTCACCTGCAGCCTGGGACCAGTAGAGGGCACTACAGAGCCAGGCAGAGGGGAGCAAATGAGAGAGTGGGATAAAGTGGTGCTTGTAAAACCTAGCTTGTCCTAAAAACGTAGTAGAGCTACATCATTTGATCAGATAATTGCTACATTTTCTGTGCCCCCTTGCTGTCTGATAAAGGCGGAGCAAATCTGCATGTTAAAAGCACATTACTGCAGTGATACATTATCTCCCAGATTTAATTTAAGAATTGATACTCTTCTGGCCTAGGGAAGGCAATCAGGATTTGAGATCCATGTTGATTCTCTAGACTGAAAAAAATTAATTTGCGATGCTCCCCTAATGGCTTATACACTAACAGAAACAAACCTTACAAATGTAGGCAATATTTATGTGACAGGTAATAGATTCTTTTTTTCTCTCTCCTTTTTTAAGATATTTTGGGGGCTTTTATGTCTATATTTGATAGGACAGGTGAAGATAGGAAAGGGAGGAGAGAAAGGGGGGACACCATGCAGAAAGGGCCGCAGGTTGGAACCTGGGTGATAAGGGCTCAGCCTACAACGGGCTTGCGCTCTATCTCCACCATGCGCGCCAGGTAATTGATTCTCATGACAATTGCATAAAATTAAAGAACAGTTTCTTGCATTAAAGGCAGGTATTGCATCTTGCATCCTTAATTCAACACTCCTGTATAATAAATGTAACTGTATGATAGAATGAGTTCAAACAACTAATAGGAATGTAAGTCAGAGCCTTATTGCCCTGGCAGTTACCTTCTGAACCCAGAAGTGTCAGAAATATGATCAGAGAAATACTGTATGAGTTCTCAAATTATCTGTACAACCGGAGCTCAATGATATTCTTCATTTTTGTTTCTAAGATTAAATCTGGTTAAAGCTATGTTGTGCCGATTGATAATTAGGATAATTAATATAATTAGTATTATAATTAGGTTGCCTTTCCAGTCTTGGAAAGCCCTGGCATTTCCTGTTTTTCAGGAACAGGTTCACCTTAATAGTGGCTGGATAATAAACTTACCAGTGGCGATCATGCTGCTGGTGTTGTTGTTCAGTCTCTCCCAGTTCAGATTCTGTTTGTCGGCCTTAGTCACTGATTCCCATTCCAACAGGAAGCCAGTAAGCGAGGCATGTGTGAGTGCTGACCATGTAAGCTCCAGACTACAGTCATTCAGGGCTTTTACATGGACTGTTTTCAAGGCTCTGAGTGCTGAACAGAAAATATGAAAACATGCAGAGTATTAAAAAACACATATTTACACCAGCATTTGCTCTAAATTCTGATACATTAGTGACGGTTACAATATAAAATATTTTTGTGAACAAAATATCTTTATTTTCAAATTATTCATCTGTGAATGGAGACTTAGTAATACGTGTGTCTGTGGGTGTTGGTAGCCTAAGCCAAGCTGCTGGGGAGCTGCTAGCAGAGTTACACATAGTCAGGAAGCAGGATGTGTCTGTCATGTGGAAGCAGCTCTCAGTTTGCAATACAATGTGGGATTCTTTGGAATGACTACGCATTGAACCACAGGCTGGTGCAGGCACTCTGAGATTTGCAGGAGACTGGAGGGGAGAAAACATTGAGGTTACCACAGAAACTGACTGGGCTTTTCAACATCAGCATAGAACTTGGCTATGCTGATGTATCACCATCACTGACCATCTCCTTTGAATTCCACACAAATAAATTAGCACTACCAACCCAGAGCACATCAATGCAAAAACTCCATGACAACTTAAAAAATGCCAGATCACGCATCAACTTCTCGTTCTGTTCTAATCAGCCATCACTGAATCCATCGTCACATCCTCTATTACAGCATGGTACTGCAGCACAGACTGTATTGTCACCAAGGAATTGAAAATCATAGACAACATTCTCCCCTCAGCTGAATTGCTACATACTCAGCAAAGTATGTGTAAAGTGAGCAAAGAAAATCATCTCCGACCCCTCACATCCTGCTCATCACCTCTTCTAGCTCCTTCCCTCGGGAAGACACTATAGGTCACTGTCCACAAAGACTAAGCTCTTCATAAACGGCTTCTTCCCCTTCAGGATTCTGAACTCCTCCCTCCAGCCCCGTTCTCACATACTAATGGTTTTATGTATCTACTGTAAACAGCCATAACATTATGGGGAAGTGAATAACACCAGGATGCACTATGGGGAGAAGGCAAGCCGGCGGAGGCAGTGTGATGCTTTGGGGCGATGTTTGGCTGGGAAACTTTGGGTCCTGCAGTTCATGTGGATGTTACTTTGAGACATACCACCTATCTATGCATTGTTGCAGACCATGTACACTCTTTCATGGAAACTGATGGCAGTGGCCTCTTTCAGCAGGATAATGCGCCGTGCCACAGAGCAAAACTGGTTTAGGAATGGTTTGAGGAACACAAAAAAGGGGTTCAAGGTGTTGACTCCACAGTAGAGTCACTTGTCTCTTCTGAAGATCATCTATAGGTTTTAACATTCTCCACAGCTGTTTGCTGGTGATCGGGGCTGAGGGACATGAAGACAAACAAGTATAGTTTCAGCAACAAAATTCTCTTTTTCAGATGACTGTTGAATGTGGTTTAATTTTAACCGGAAAAGTTATTTGAAGTTATTTGGCCAACTATTGACAGCAGTATTATACTTAGTCTTTTGATTAAAAAAATTTGAATTACAGAGAATTACATTGTTTACATTTTTGTGAAACTAATGATCTGACACAAACACAAACTCACACCTGCCATCCCTGTGCAGCTCGGTAGCCAGTCGCTCTACTTGCTCCAGATACTGAGGTTGCGGATGCGGAGTCGGACTGTGTATTGAGTAAATGGACTGAGAGAGAATGGGCTTTTGAGAAGGATGGTCCGGTTTGTCCTCAGAGAGTCTGTACACTGCAGAGGATTAAGCTGATCACCCAGATAACCCTCCACTGTCTGGGCCTCGGGCTTAAAGAAACATGGAGGACAACACAATAAGAAAAACAAAGAAATAGATTAACTATGCCTGCATACCATAATTTATTTCTCACTGATCTGAAGATTAAATGCAAAACGTTGAATCTATCCCTTCATCTGTCCTATTACCACACCTGATCATCCGTGCTGTATTGTAGCTGGTAGGACAAAAAAGCGATTGCAAATGTTTTCATTAGAGCAGAATATACTGGTGTATGCCACTGCAGCTCTAGACAACTGGGTTTATCTCTGACTGGTCTCAGATCAGTCACATTTGGCCTACGCAGCTTCACTGATGAAACAAGAGTCAGGGTGAAGTCAAGGTGTGAAATATTAACTGTAGAAAGTGAATGAGTGCTGGGCATGGGTAATTAATCATATTTTTTCCTAAATTGAATCAGAGGATAAACCACTTGAGATACATACACATAAGGGCTCTCCCTCCATCCCAAACCACTGTGCACACTACATGAACATACCAAATAACTCTAGGAATGAAAAAAAAACTCTATAAATGAAATACGATCAAAATAGATTTACAGTAAACAAGAAAGAAGTCTTGAAGTGACACAAATAAGAAATTGATCTGAGTGAGTTAGGCAAATTATTGCAGTCTGATGGTGCTTTAAACTTAAAAGTCTCCCAATTAATTTTTTTAATTAAGATTGTACGAAAGGTGAAAGCTGTTTTAAGTATTAAGGATTGGCCAGATAAGTGTATCATACAGGATCTTGCGTGTGGTAAGGACAACTCAGGTCTACAAATCCACAAATCTACAAATGTTAACATTTGTTTTATTACTAATATAATTAACATGAGAACTACAATACATGTTTTTGTGCACGGAGCCAAATAGGTTTACAACAGCCTAACTAAACCTACTGAAAACTATTCTATTTTACTTACAATCACCTATAAAGCTAACAATAATTCAAGAGTGTCTTTCCAAAATAAAATACATAAGTACATATGTATTGTTACCTGCATCTAAAGCTCTGATACAGAGGGTCGGTGAGCTGGCTGTTGCTGCAGCGCTCTGGGCAACGACTCTGACAGAGTACAGCCTGTCAGGACTGCTCATGGGACCGGAGCAGCGTGTCTGATTTATCCTGGTGCAGCTGAAGGCACGCTTACCAAAAGAGTCACAGGTAAATTTTGTCCTGTGTACACAAATAAACATATATGCATTAGCATTACAAGCATGCACATACATGCACATGTGACTTCAGACAGAAATATAACCCCGCACCTCTGCTAGAAGCCAACAGAGAGGAATATACTTCACATTTTCCCTTGTTTGTACTTGACACTGTAAGTGTTTCAATTAAGCATACCTCTGCAAATCTACATTGAGAAACAATAAAATTGAACTTCTGTGTTGTTTGTTCACTAGAATGGTGCTGAAGAACCTACATTAACATTTTGGAAGTAATGTTGTTGAGTACATGATGGAAATGCAAAACGTCTCCCTGTATAATATAAATATATCACTAATAAATAAAAATAAATGATCAAATATTGGACAAGGAAAAACTTGTAATCAACCTGGTCACAAGGTTCAAGAAGCCAGCAGGAAACCACAGAAACAGGAAGTGAAGACTTTGTGTAGTGCTGCAATATAGCTGGTCAGTGGCGAACAGCGTAAGGCTACATAAGGTATGTTTGTGTGTGGTGTACATAGATCCATGTAAAACTGAACATAATCATCTATACAGCTAGTACTTGGTAAATAGCAGTCTCAGCCCCCTCTCACCGAACATGTAGTTATTCTGAAAATGGATGTTGACGATAGCTTCTCATAGGTTTGTTTACAAAATATTAATATTAAAATTTCACTCAGCAGCAATGATTCACTAAGTGCAGAAGCCAGTGCAAAGATGTTTTTTATAGTTGAATGTACTTCAGAAATAATTAGACTGAACATTTACCAGAGCACATTTCATAGTTTTCCATGAACTGATAAGGTCAAGTAAGTCATCTGACTGTCAACTGCTTAATATATTGAAAGGGTCTCATATGGACGTACTCTGTCATTATAATAAAAGGGATGTGAGGAGTTATTACTACTAATTGTAACTGTAGACCTCTTCAGTGAGCCATGATGCACTGACAACGAAATGTTCTCACTTTGTTTTTTTATGGAAAAGTACCTCTGCCAAAATAATTGGACTGCGTACCTTTACTATAAACAGGGAACAAAACATGACTAAATGGTCCTAAGGGAGTGAGACTAGGGCAACATGATATTAAAAATAGCTGAAAGATAGTCTATGAAATGTGTTTTAATTTCTTCACGTTTTTCGTCTCATCAATAACAATAAAATACTTCAGGGTTAATATACTCTGCATACAACTAGCGCCACCGTGCACTACTTTCCTGCATGTTTCAGTCAGGGGGAATATTTACTATGATTGATATGATGTTGATATGCATGATCACATCAGTCACGAAATAATTGGACTACCCTGCTTTATTATGAACACAAGTTTACATCAGCATTGCTCTGTAATATGATTACACTAGCTTGCTAAATGAGGAAAAATAGGACTATAACATCTGTTTAATATGAGAGTGACATATTAAAGAGACAAACTGTATTTCCCTTTAGCAGCTGCACAATAAAAGCCAAGGTAAAATGCCATTTGGGTCAGGTACGCTCATGCTGGAGCTGAGAAGAATTTCCTCAAGCCCTTCCAAGGATTCAGGTTTCTGTTCTTGGATGTTAGAGGAAGCAGTCTAGGCTCTGAGAGATGACTGTCTGCCTTTCCGCTCTTTCTGCATGAGAAAAAAAACACCAGTGGAGCTCAGATGGTGCACAGAAAGTCTTAAGAGCACAGCAGTCAGTTGCAGTGGTTTTCCCTACAGATGTGGATGGGTTTTCAAATCTCCAGGTTATATGTTCAAATGTTGAGATATGGACTGTACAGATTATTTATTTGTACAGTAAAATAACTTGTATTTACTGAATTACAGTGGTGGAAGTATTCAGATCTTTTACTTTAGTAAAATTAGCAATACCTCACTGTGAAAATACTTCACTACAAGTAAAAGGCCTGCATTCAAAACCTTACTTAAGTAAATGTATTTAAGTATTATCTACAAAAGAAGAAGAATTAAAAGTAAAAGTACTCATTGTGAAGAAAAATGGTCCCTGTCAGTGTTTTACATACATGATGTTTTTGGATTAATATCACAGCTGCATTACTGTTGTATTTTACAGCTGTAGATGTTAAAGTTTGAGCTAATTTAACTTCTTTATATAATGTTGTGTAGTTTAATCTACTGCAGTGTATCATATTTTATAAGATCATCAAATGTCAGCTTTTTATAAACAGCCCTGTTTTCAGCTTTGTGACAATGCTTTTTCAAGCTAATTGAAAAGTGTTTTTAAATAGTTTATTTAGCTTATAAAGGAACTCTTATTCATAAAGTAACATTTAATCCTTCAGTTTATCAGAATAACTGAAATCCAAGTACAGTACATTAAATGAACTCACAATCCATCACTGCTGAATTGTCTAATTTAAAGAATTGCTCAATATACCAACAAAAACAGTAATAACTGTATGATGATACAAAACCAGACACCCAAGTTACCATGCCGGTAAAATAACACCCACCCTCAGCCAGAATCTAAAAACATTTTAAAACTGAGTGTTTCGAGTAGCCAATGTTTTGAGTGTCAGATTCTCACCATTTACGCAACAGACACAGCAGCGTTCACTTAAAATCTCCCGACATGCCAACAGGGTCTAATGTTAATTACTGCTGTGTGTTAGTTTACACAACCATAAGGTCACACACAGCCCAGGTTCATAAAGGAAAATTGTTTAGAGTAAAACATCAGTCCTCCTGATAAATCCTCTGGGGAGTTTCTCTGTTTACTTTATGACTACAGGTTTTAAGCATCCTCTCTAATCATTATAGTTAATTAAATAAACACTCAACAGGCAAAACCAGTACAACACAGAATAAATAAAAAAAATCTTGCAAAAAGAGGCACATTAATCATTTTTACTGGCAGAATGCGTTTATATTATTTGTTCATTATGAGCATCTGTATTTATTGATATTGTGCTTTTAAATGATTGAATAACCCAGAATAGGACTGAGGTGTCTTTTTTACATTGGAATATATTTATTAGGCTAAATGTTTTTGGGAAAATCTCATATGACTGAATGGAAATGACGATAAATGATGTAAAAAGCATTTATTGCTGACAGACTCTCTACTGTGTCTGGCTGTAATATGATCGTATGAAATCTGCTGATAGCTCATCAGAGATCGCTCCTAGGTGCAGAAATAAGCTTTGGGACATTCTCGATTCCTCTCCTCGCTTCCTCGCCTCTCATCTTAGTCCCTCCCACCAGAGATGCGAGCGCAGGAGAGACACAGGAGAGAATTCAGTATGAGAATGAGATGTTGTTGCTCCAGAGTCAACAACTGCACAGCTGTATTTTATTATTTCTGTCAGATAAGCATAGCAGTGTTCATAATAACAATGATTATAGGCTACACTGACTTTTAATTCAACTGACAACGTGGCATAATGAGACAAGTATAGTCTACAGATGGCATACTTTTTAAATTTTAATCACGACCAGTAAAGCTGCTCTTTCACTATAAATCTCAGTTTATTGCACTATTGTATCCTTTATAAAACATTTGTTTTTCATTCTGTTCTGTACTTTAAAGGAATATATCACGCCAAACTCCCTTTAAGAAATATGACATTTTAACAATGCCTTACGTGTCTGCAACAACACGTAACTCTAGAAACACAAGATAAAGTGTGTCATATGCGGACAGTCTTCTTGTCAATTCGGCATCAATATAAACCATAAAGATGAACTTTTTGACGATTCTGTCGCCTAAACTGAGTCTCAATTGTCAGTGGGAATGTGAGGCGGGCCGTTTTATTATATTATCATTTCTCGCTAAAATAAGTGCTGACTGGTGGATTAAATATAAGCCGAAGGAACTGAGATGTCCTTCAAGGTGGTGATTTCCGGGTCCCAGACAGGAGGAGACACAGTACACATTGAAATGAGAAAGGCCCAGAGGGTGACCCATATGTCTTTGCTGTCCTTCTCTGTCAACTCGTCGTTTTGCAGAGAGGATAAATACTCTGCTTCTGTCACATAGCGCCACCTTCTGGGTTTAGATGAACATTTTGACGCTACAGTAATTATTATTATTATTTTTTTAATTTCAAAGTCATCTTTATTGCAAAAAGGGGGGTTACAATTCAGATGTGACTTACAGAAATATATATATATATGTACAAATACAAAATACAAACAAAGTGAAATAAAGCTTTGATGCTACAGAAATAGTTTGTGTATGGAGTCCCGATAATGACAAAAGCCAGCCAGAGCTAGGTATGTGAGATAAGTAGCTCTGAATGCAAATAATTGATTGTTGTACGCTGTTTTGACGTGTTGAGAGAAGTTTCATTAGAGAGTGAAAAAATATTCATGCATTCAGTTCCCATTTTCAGCTCTTACTTAACATTCCCAACTTTCCTTGCTGCAAGTAGGTATGTCCAATGGTGGATCCAGATGTTTTACTTAAGTAAAGGTTGTAATATTACAGTGTAAAATACCTACATGTTAAATCTTACTTAAATTAAAGTACATAAGAACTGATATTAAAATAAATCTAAAGAATCAGAAGTAAAAGCTTATATTATTGGATTGTGATTTATTGGTGCAGTTGGTAAAGGTGGGGTTAATCTGATACTTTATATACTGCCGGGTAGCTTAATCTCTAACAATATATCATCATTTATCATCTGTTTTATTTAGTTTTAACCATCTGAAAAGTTGAATAAAACTGGAGTAAAAAGTATAATATACTGTATGCCCCTGAAATGTAGTGGAGTATGACATAACTAGAAACAGAAATACCCAAGTACATCAAAATTGTAAAACAAACAAGTGCAGGTGCTGTATCAGCTTTCAAAATAATGAATTCAAATACAACACATTTTAATATTTCACCGATGTTCATTTTAATCTTTTTTTTTTTTTCCAAAATATAATAATTATAAACAAACATAACAGAAGCAGTACAATATATAAATTGCTAGAAATAAAAGTGAAAATAAAGAATTAACCAAAGGCAGTGACTCTGCGCCTTTTTCCTGCCTTCATGGTCTCATCCTGAACCACCCTCATGTAAACAAAGACAAAACAAACATTGATCGGAAACCGGCTTGGCTTTTAACAGGAAGAGCTCCCACATTTACGAACAACAACAAGGAATAAACAGAAAGACAGATGGAAGGAAGGACATTGGGTTCCTCTCCTTCCTTGTAACTTTTCCTTTACTTCTTCAGACAGCGTGACCAAAATACACCGACATTCACAAGAAAATACCACATATGTACGAATGCATACACAAATCAATACATGAATTAATGAAATGACTAAAATTGTAATGTAATGTAATAAATTGTTCCTTTTAAGATGCATCTTAAAGCTCATCCATTTATTTTGTGTTACATAATGTTAAAAATAATCAAATCATTTTTACTGTAACTTTCTGTATTTTCTCAACCTTGAACTGGCAGATTGTTTTCAAATATGAAACTGTAGATGTAAACAATAGAATTTTATCTGTACTAATTAATGTGGAGCTCCCTCTGTGCTTCAGAAAAGACATGAGATAATAAACATACACCAAGTTTGTTATTCTCAAAATTCAACAAGTTTTACATCTCTGATTAACAGGGCCATGAGGACTTTGGGAAACTGGTCAGAAAAGGTTGAGAATCTGTTGTGCAGTTGTTAATAAGCAATTTGCACTATAAATATATTATTATTAAAAATGTAAATGGCTATACATATGTGACATTTTTCAGTATATTTCATTATGTCTGGCAGAGGTCAGTGAAGGAAACATTTCAGAGGAAAAAAAGAGAGATTTGTTTAATCCACAACTCAGTTTGGATCAATCGCACTCTGACACTAAAAATATCACAGTTGTACCTTTGTTCATACATGTTCACTGATTGGACGTTACGCGGATGTAAAGAGCAAGGAGAAGGTGCCAGAACTGTTAAATTCCATGTTAGGATGATCTTTAGACCTCGATATTAGTCACTTCATATGTTTTTTCCACTCTTACACCAATGAGCTGCAGCTTAATCCAAAAAACTTCTAATAACACTCCCTCTTTTATCTGATCTGTATGTATGACACCTGTTTAGAGTAATGTTGACTGACTCTCACTGATTAACGGTCTCTGAGATCATCAAAGGTGCAAAACCTGAGAAACTGTGTTTGTATTCAGTGACTTACTTATGTTCACATGTACATTTTACATTTACATATTTTATTTTATGCCTATTCTGCCTGTCAAACAGGCTCTTGATGGTACCAAATATTAAACATTAAAAAGGTGATCAGAAATGATGACTAAGCGATGCACCTTTATAAATCTCTATGTGAATCTTCAAAATAAAGAACAAGGATGAAATCTTCCACAAAAGCACAACTGAGAATAAAACTTGCAAAAATATTACGCTGCTTTTCCTTCGATCATGTGCGAATCTCAACCTTAGAAAATCTTATTTAGTTTCAACTCTTCACATATAAACAAAATTCTGGAGGAGTGGAGGAGGCAGGAAATAGAGAAAAACATGAAAGGAACTGAAAAGGGAGAGCCAATCACAGACTTAATGTTTAAATGTATTCTATATTGTTGGAAGGGACAGATTTTACTCTGTGGTCAGACTTCTAGCAACCGTGTCACTGTGGCTGCAGCAGCGAGTGTTGAGCAATATGTAAAGACACGTAAAGAAACACACAATTGGCTCTTCCTGGAAAAAGGCGGGAGAAATCTGAGCTTCAGTCAAACTGATAAATAAAAAACAAAGCAACAGTGGTTAACATTGGCAGTCACTGATTTGTTTTAGCCACACGCATCTGGTTTGTTTGCTAGGTCACAGCAGCTCTCATCAACTGCACTGTGCTTTGACAAGTATGTATTAATTATAGCCAATCAGTGAGCAGCTTGTGGTAAGAAACTGTTAATAAAACACATAATCAACACCTGAAAGTAGTGATTAACACTCTTCATTCCACAATGGACAGAGGGTTCAAGTGTCTCAGTTTAAAAAGAGGGTTCAGACAGACGAGTAATCGCCCAAACACAGGTAGTAGGTCCATACGTTTTCACAAAGTTAAGTAAATGCACTTTTTGTCCTGGTTTCTTCGAGACCTGTGTAAATACCAACACCGATCAAAGATCTTGACACAGGGCAAACCATGAAGAGTACCACTCAGTCCCCCCCCCTTCACTGTGTGAGGGAGCGGGGATGCTGGACGGGAGAGGGGTGTAGCAGGCTGCCAAAAGTCTGGAAGTGTGACGGGAGGACAGCAGATGAGGGAGGTGAGGCAGATGGAGACAGACTAAATTCCACCTGCAGCCCATGGGGGGAGCCAGTCCCGCCGCCTGCTGTACCACCGTCAGGGCCCTCAGAAACGAAAGGTCCACCAAGCATGTGTAGCTGGTAGAAGCAGGAGCCTTGGAGGCGATTGTCGTCATGGCAGGACGGAGGGCTCCCGCCGGCCCACTGGGAGCTCTGGGGGGAGGGCTGGGACTGGAGCTGAACTGGAGCTGAGGGACAACAACTGCCTGAGCTAGGTTCCTGCAGGTCGTCCATGGGGGGGAGAGAGAAGGGACAGCCAAACAGCTGCTGCGGACATCCGTCACCACACAAGTCTGACAGCCCCATCACCAGCTCACCATCTGGACAGATATGGAGGAGTTCATAGGATGAAAGATCAGCCTGTAACTGCAGTCATGTGAAGTATTACTGCTTTATTTGTTCCAAAAATTTTCACATATTGTATGTTTTATGTATGTTTTTAATTAAATTAGCGTCATCCAAAACAATAATGTATTTATTGCCCTTTTATTATAATAATAAAAGCACTAAAATTGAGATTTGATAGAAATGTTGCACTACGAATGACTTAAACCGTAAATGATGGCATCAGTGTGTGGAAGCAATTGACAGAAATGTATAGGACAGTGGCTCTTAGATAAATATATTTTAGGTGGAAGATTATAATTCTTAATAAAGCCATATGATTTGCCCTCTCTTGCCAACCGCATGTGAACAGTTTATCTGCTTAAAATCGGTCAGCACAAGAGTAATATGTTAGTTATTTCATTTTATTTTGTTGGTTTACACTGAAATTTCCTTTTAGGTCATACTGTGTTAGTGTGTAAGCTGCCAATATGCACCACAGCCCTTACAACAAACAGTAAACATGTTCTTGGTAAATACAAGTGATTTTAATTTCAAATTAGGGTTATGGTTAAATGTTATTGCTATTAAGGTATTTTTATTTTTATTTCCATTTTGGTACAACAGAGTTATACTTGATGATAAATATCAAATGCATGAAACTGAATTTTAAACACATACTATATACAGTCAAGAGAGTATGGGCTGAATTCATTCAGAAAAGACTCAATATATCTGACATTATCTGTAAGATAATTTGTGGCTTTTACTGAATAGCCCACGCAGTCCTGTACCATTTGGCTCTAATTAGTTTGAGTTTTAGAGTTTGACTATCTACCACAGGCAAGTTTTTTTCACAATCAACACATCATTCACATTCTCTCTCTAATTCTCTCTTCTGGGCTTCTTTACCTGCAGGCCCAGCCTGCTTTCTGAGGCCTGTATGGACCGAGGTTATGGCTTTAAGAGAAAGCGGGGAGTTCGTCTGCGCCGGGGACGGCCCTCCTCCTCTGGAGCACCATGTCAACAGGTTTGCATGCACATACATACAGATACAGACATGCATACGTGCATGCACAAACACAACAACACAAGACACAAAAGAAGCAGGAAAATAGTGGGGAAAACAAAGGAGGTGAGACATAAAAATGATTCATAAAATAAGATAATGACAATGACAATATGTGATGTCAAAATAAAAGGAAAACCATGAAATCAAAATAAGACATTCAATATACAAAATTAAATCCTTAGAACTGCGTGTAAAACATGATGGACAGTGGAACATTATTTGATTTGTAAAATGTGACTGACATGGTATGTAAATGGTTTCTATACAGAAAGATGGGTGGACATATACAGCTCTTTCTGATTTCAGCACTATTAGTAAGCAAACTAAACCCCTAAGTCCCACTGTGTGTGGGATTGTTTTACTATATGCTCTATTTGTCCAATGGTAGAGCTACGTGCTCTTTGACTGGCTTCCACTTCCAGGAATAGCTACACTATTAGTTATGTTGGCCATCTATAAAAGAGAAAATATACTCTACTGTGGCAACAGTTTCTACAATTTAAGCCTCCACCATTCGATTCTTGAGAACACCTCTAAGTTTTACCTTGTTTGTCCAGGTCCAGGCTCGACTGTGGAGGTAATGGGGACTCCAGCTGCCCAGTGCCCATGGAGCTGTGAGACAACAGGCCTGAAGAATTGTTGCTTCCCTCCAGCTCCCCAACCTCCCCGTCCTGGTCTCCATCCTCCCTGCAACACAGAACACAAAACATAGCCAGTAAAGTATGGTGTGAATTGACAGTGAAATGCTGGTGTGTGCACAATATCCGATTAAACACACAAGAAGAATGACACACCCCAAGGTTAAGTTAGTGTTCAGAATTCCAGGAAACAAGCATTAAGTCTATTTGTCGTTTTTCTTACAGAACTTTATTTTACATTAGCTTCAACTAATGCGAATAAATAAACAAACAGATGTACATTTAATTTAAGAGGTTCTAAGAATTGGACCTTCATAAATTTTATGTAAAGTTCAAGTGACAACATACAGGAAATTCTGAACTCCAGGGGCAAATAGAAGAATGTATGAAAATGTCTTTAATAAGAAATGACTCACAGCCTAAAAATTCTTGGTTTCTTTCTTTTATAGATTTCAGAATTCCTAATAGCAGAAATTACTAAATGGACTGTAAAAGGTAAATGGACTGTACTGGTATAGCGTCTTTCTAGTCTTCTTACTACTCAAAGCACTTTTACACTACATGCCACATTCACCCTTTCACACACATTCATACAGTTATGACAAATGCTCATTACAAACAGAATCTAATTCCTTCATTCACACTCACACACAGATGCACAGCATCGTGAGCAATTTGGGGTTCAGCATCTTGCTCAAGGACACTCCGACTTGCAATGTGACGAGCTGGGGATCGAACACAAACCTTCTGATTAGTGGACAACGTGCTCTACCCCCGATCCACAGCTGCCCTCTAGTATGGGCTCTTTTATGAAATCAAGAAGTCATTATATGATGATAAGTCGTAAATATTGCCATCTCTTCACACCCCATCTGTAGGCATATTGTAGGGCACGACACAGGGTTGCTCATTGCAAGACCCAGCCTGTTTGCAGATTTCGATGCCTGCTCACAAATCATGTACGTTTTGGCTCAGGTGTGATCTCTCTTTCCATTCAGCCCAACTATGAATATTGTCATTAGTGTTCCAGCAATACTCACATGCTCCCTGATTGCAAGCTGTACTTTTTGCGGCTGAGCCTGGTGGCCTGCTGGGTAAAGTACTCGTGACGTTCAGACTTCTTCCACATGTAGTAATACTCCACACACTCCCCAACTGAACGCGTTCGTACCTGAGGAAGAGGAAAACTATTGTTTTTGCTTTGAGAGGCAAAAAGATGACCAATTCAAAGTTCAAATGAATACAGCAGCACTCACCTTATTAGCCTGAATGAGGTGGAAGTTTTTCCCGTAAACTCGATAGCCATGCTCAAAGTTCCTGCACTCCTCCTCACTCCAGGCACACAGCTCTTCTAAAGAGAGGGAGACACATTCTTTCATCACTATGCATCAATTCTAATTCATACTAATTAATAGAAATAAATTGATTTTTTTTAATCAGTACATTGCAACCACAGTGTTGTGCTGTAGATTATCACCAAACAGTGCTTTGAGAATGCAACTCAGTGTTAGGTTTTGACCTGAGTTTTGTTTTGATTGAGAGAGCTGCAGAAAAACTGGGAAGGGAAGTGCCAAAGGTAAGAGTATGGCCAGGGCTCTCTGACCTAGCAGTGGGTAGTTTTTTTCACTCCAATCCAAACTATAACAAAGGTCTTGGAGTTAAACTGGAGCTTTACTTCCAAATATGAGGTCACACCAGTGAGTCAGCAGCTGATAGGGTATCAGATGAAGTCTATAATCAGATAAAGGTTTTCACACATGGGATCACTGTGTTCTGCAGTTTATTTAACTCAATTATCGACTCCAGGCTCCAAAATGAGTCTATTGTACATCCCATGTTACTACAAATGTTACCACATTTCTAGTTTCCTTGTGAAGGATGTTATATCATCTATGAGATGTCAAAGGTACGTGTTGGTGCCTTTCAACTGCAAATTTAGTTCACTGACTTTTTGAAACACGTAACTTCATGAGGAAGTTGTTATTTTGAAACTTCCCTAAAAATTCCCTACTTACATCCTTTATATCCTACAGAGTGTCAACTGACTGATTATCATATATATATATATATATATATATATATAATACACAGATAGATAGATAGATAGATAGATAGATAGATAGATAGATAGATTCCCCGTTTTACTAGCAATTGCCTAAGCCCAGTCTTTGCTGATCCACACAAAGTCCTCCAGTTTCAAATCAGCCTCTTTCAAAGAAGTGAAATAAATGAAAACCTACTGTAATCCTCTTTCACATCATCTGTATTAACACACCAGACAATGCATCAAAAAACAGCTTTTGTTCCTCTGATAATGTCAACACTACACCCATTCCCGCTGGGAATTCCCTTCATAAATAAACACAAATACACATACATCCAGCAGACACCTCACCAAGCAAACCCCACATCCCACCTTTGAGAGTGGTCACTTTTTTAGGCACCAACAGAAGACACATACCTACAAGCATTTCGAATATACACTCATATTAACTTTAAAACCTACGTATGTGCACCCACTTAACACAGCACATTTTTAAGTCAATCTCACGTTTTGGTCAAATAATCATTTCCTACACACATGAATTTATCTCTGTTCCACTCTCCTGCTTCGATGTACATAAAAGGTATTTTGCACAGAACATGTCTCTAACTAGTCCCCCCACAAAACATTGGCAAATAAAATTTTTATAATATTTTATTATTTGTCATTTGTCATTATCAAGGTTGTGATTTACCGTACAAATAAGTATGATAACTGGTTGGACAGCAGGACGACAGGAATGTACTTACCGCTAAAAACTTTCACATTGAAGCGTAATCGTCTCAGTGCTTCTTCTGCATTGAAGTTGCATTTCACTAGCTCATACAGTGCCTGAGGAGAGAAAAGGCGGAGGATGAGCCAAAATGGTTAGACTGTGTTTCTCAGAGTGGAATACAGAAGAACTCCTGTTCACTGAATGACACAGAATGACTGATGACCAAGCCATGATCCACAATCAAGTGTATTTAGTTGAAGTATGTTAAAGGACCAGTGTGTAGGATTTGGTGACATCTAGCTGTGAAATTGCGGCATGCAAACAACTGAATATGAGAAACTACAGTGAAACTCTTAATGGTTCTTTATCCATTCTGGGCTACTGGACTCTGTTCCGAGCCGAGAGAGCACAGGACGAGAGGAGAAGGACTCTGTGTTTACATCGACATTCATGTGAAGATGAAACCATATTATCATCACAATCTTGTTGCTGCCGTTTACAGTCCCCCAGACACAAATTCAAAAGATTCACTGCAGAATTATTTCCTGGGTGTAAACATATATGTATATAAATAACTGTATATTTTGATTTATTTTATTTTTATTCTATTTTATTTATCTTTCATGTTTTTTAGGCGTTTAGCATGGAGGTACGACAAACTCTAACTTTGTTATAGAACCTTGTGTTCCTAAATGTTACATACTGGACCTTTAATCATAAGGGGAAACATGCTTCAAGAGAGATTCTCAAGTCACAGACACAGTTTAAGATAAAAGATACAATTGGGTAATAATAATAATAATAATAATAATAATAATAATAATAATAATAATAAGGTACAATTGATTATCATGGCAAGTACTAAGTCAGCGAGTACACATCTTCAGATACTAGTAGATCTAATTTCTTTCAACACATTCAAACATCATGTCCTTTTCACTGCTCAACAAATAATACTGAGCAGAATCTTTGACTGTTTTATACTGGAAACAGCTGGAAAACACTTAACATAGCTGACCGCTGTTTCTCCTGGGATGCAGAAATTAAAATTACTGTACCTGTTCATTGTCTCGGACAGTGTCCCCTTGTGTTCGCGTGCATGCTGCCACCTCCTGGCAACGTGGTCTCTGTGCATACAGCAAGAACTCTTCCACTTCCTGCACCGGCAGAACACCTGGCCTCCACAGCAACTGGTCCTCACTGCTGTAGGCTAAAGGGACAAAGAAAGGTAGAGAAAATTAGGTGACATGTAGTGGAAGAGGTAGCGAAAGAAGATCAGGTATTAGAAATTGGAGGAGGAAGAGAAAACTGATTAAGAGACAGAAATAGAGATGGTAAAGGTAGATAGAGATGCGTTTGGCAGTGTCCTTTTGAGTTGCCAAAGTCAGTTTTACATAGAGGAGCTTTAATCAACAAAAATTATTTGTTGTTTTGAAGACTAAGTTCATAAAACATGATAGACTTAACTCCATAAAGTGGCAGTTAAATCTTGTTTCTAATCCCAGCAATATATAACATTTTCAGTTGCTTACCTCTCTCCTGGTAGGTATATGGACCAAATGGAGGGATTTTTGCCTGGTACATAGAGCCAACCATGATCTCCTGAGAAGGAAGACACAGTCTGTCAAAGATCGGAAATGTGTCATATATGCTAATTAAGGCAGAAATGTCTGAGCTGTGTGGCAGTATTTCTCTGCATTGCATGAATGAAAATAACTAAATGCTGCATCTTTTGACAGCCAATGAAAACCAATAAATGAGTGGCTTGCATGTGGCAGAATAGTCCCAGGAATTTCCGACTGTGCGATCCTACATCATTTATGCCCAGTGGCAAAGGTCAGTACCAATGCAGAAAGAACTGTGTCATCAGAAGGATGTGTACAGCTTTTGAAGCTCCCACTGCTCATTGGATCAAATGCAAGCTAAACCCTTTACCAAAGAATTCATTAAATATCTTATTATATATAAATATATTATTTCCTCATAATCTCTCCCATAAAGAAACACAAACTGAAACATACTGTACAACATTTTTAATGTCTCTTACTTAAACTGAGACAACTCGTCTAGTGGTCATGAGATGTGTGTTATTGCCCTCAGTGGCCTACCTTGTGCTCTTCATTGGAGGGAATAGAAGCATCGGAGTCCTCATCTGATGAGCTGACTAATGTGTCTTTGTCTCCACCTGAGAGACAAAACATCAGAGAGGAGGATCAGTCAATCATTTCAAAGACTGTACACAACCTGAATGTCAAAAGATACTGTCAAAACTCTTGATGCTATATTAAAGTCATGTCTTTCTGCTGACAAATCACAATAACTTTTCTGAAAGTTTTAACCATTATTCAACAATTACATAATATTGAGATAAAAATCAGTTTCTCAAGTGCAACCCACCAAACACAGCAGTAGGTGGTACTGAAAGTAATAGAAACAGGGTGGTGAAAAAGTCCAGTCTAACTCAGTATAAAATACAATTGAGGATAAAGCAGCCAACAGAAAAAAGAAAAGAATCAGAGAGGAACGGGCTCTCCATCTCTTTTACCTTTAGAGAAAGTGCATGTTAATGCATCTCTCCTGGATCCATAAAGGATACAAAAGTGTTCCTGCCATATATTCGGTTTTTATGATTTTTGTGGACTCAGCAACAATACTGTCACTCAGTTCAAACAGAATCACTACCAGGGAATGGCTGTTTGAATATATTTAAACTGCTGTAGTTCAGAAATGAGTGTCTTTGACATCATTCAGTCATATGGAGAGAGACACATAAAGCAGTATGCTGTCACACAGGAAGGTCCCATAACCAATAACACAAACCAAATTAAAGCTTTTATGTTATTTCATGACATTATAAACTCTGACATGTCATGTTATTGAAATGTCCCGCCTAGCTGTAAGTAACAAGTTGCAGTCTCAGCAATGCACTGATTTAAAATTGGACTATGAGAAAATATTTCACCAAAAAACAAAAGCCCAAAGAATGTCATTTCTTTCAGTGCAACTATACATTGTTCCATCAGAAAAAGGCAGAGTGGGCATGTAATAATAATAATAAACATTATTTGTATAGCACTTTTCAAAAACACAGTTACAAAGTGCTTTACAGAACAAGATGAAATTGCACACATAGTCAAGACAACAAAAACACACTATAAAACACAGGACCTGATAAAACAGTGTGTGCAATAAAAACAGGTAAAATAAAAATGTGGGTTTGAGGAGTGAATTAAAAGAAGGTACTGAGTAGGCTAACTTAAGTTCAGTTGAAGGTCCAGTGAGTAACATTTAGGAGTATCTATCGGTGTATAATTACCTGACGATAGGAATTGTTTTTATCTACAGATACCTTTGCTGGAGCCAAACCCTGATGAACCACCATGTTTCTACAGTAACACAGAATGGACTAACTAACCAAACCATCAATAGTTTCTCTTACACAGTTCACAGCCCGTTCTCATTCCCAAGTCGTCATATACAGATGTGAACAGTATTCAGTTAGTTGCAATCTGCAACTTCATGCTAGGTGCCACAAAATCCTACACAGTGGTCCTACCTGAGGAGGCAGCGGATAGTTGACATGGGTTTGTTCCATTTGAACTGAATATATAAAGCTATCCCTACATTTTTAACTTGCATTGGAAGGGAGATAATTTAAAATGTCATATAGTCATGTGTACGTGTACGTCCTTGCGTGAGTTACCTCGGAAGCGGCGGAGCAGATCTGAGGTGTTTGAGGTGACTGAGGGGGTGAGATCATCAGCTGATGATTCTGCTTCCTCCTCCCCAGGAAAGAGATCCTCAGTTATCTGATCCTGTACAATAAACATGAAAAACTATATAACAACAACAGAACAGAACAGAACAGACTAATAATATATAATAAAGTATTGGTTTTCCGTGTTCTTGGCGTTGCTTCTCACCTTGTCCAGTGTCATATCTGGCAGACTGGCAGCCACTTGACAGGTCTCCTTCTCTGGATTGGACACTGTGTAGCCGTACAGAGCCAGCAGCTCCTCCAAAGGAAGCTCACTGGCCTACAAACAGAGAGTTACAGAGGAAGACAGGGACAGGTGGAGGGAGATGATTGGGTTACTTCTATATCTTTCAATTCAAGGAGCTCAAGGACACTCTTGGCAGTTGTTCTTCCTTGGCCAAAATATTTCCATAGCTCTCACTCAGTTTGGAGAGTTGCTGTCAAATGACTAAAACATTTCGAAAATGAACAAGGGACAAAACGCAGAACAGGTCAGTCAGATTTGAGGAGTTGCAGCAGATGTGATAATCAACATCAGTGTGTTTTATATCATTTCCTGAGCTTTGTTTTTTTTAAATCTTAAACCGTCTTGAATGTGATATTTAAGGACGCCATCTTTCTTTCTTTGCTTTGCATTGCATTTTGTGACAATGGGCACAGGTAGGTGCATAAAGCAAATCTATTTTCTGTATCTGTTGATCAGCTGCTGCTGAATAGACAGGTGCTAACAGATCTTACTGGGAGCTCTGACACAGAGCTTTCTACCTGTTGCAAACTTGATGCACTGTCAGACTGCTATGGGATATATGATGTAAATGTGGCTTTCTGTCTGCAATCTCCAGAAAGAAGATGCATAAAAACAATGCCAATTATATCTTTTTAGAGTGCTTTATCTGTTTGTAACCAAATAATGTTTCAGTAACATAAAGTGATGGATGATTCTAGTGCTCTGACTAACTTATTAAAAACTGTGTTGTTGACATGTTTTTGCAGTATGAATATGAATACTGTGAAGTGATGCAGTAAGTTTTGCAGCTATTACATTCCGATAATCAAAGAAGAGACAGCTACTAATTTTAACATATACAGACATGGCTGAACTTGACCGTACAGTGTGGGACTGCGCTGCCATCTTCATGGGGCGAAAGTTCTCCTCCAACTCCTCTAAGGCCTGTTAAGACTTCTGCTTCTCCTGCTGAGGGCCTTCATCACTGTACCTCCCCCACTCTCCACTAGGCCACAACCTCCACACTTATCTTCAGGGGCTTTTCACCCACCTACACACACACACAAAAACAAACAAAAACACACCGCATTATTTGTATGAACATTCGTGTAAAGTCATGTAAAAGCAGCATGGGGGTGCATTACAATATGGCAGCACATTCCTCAGTGCATCTGTGGCGCACGTGCACACATGTGCACACAAACAACATGAGGGATCAAATGGTGGCTGATCCTGGTTCATCCCATTACAGATCAGCTGATTCCTGATTTTTTAAAAAGCTCTTTTGTAATTTATGAGATCTGCTGCAGAGATTAAAGTATCATTCGAAGAAACATCTGCAATAATTGTCTGTGGCACTCAATTGTAACTTGAATATAGTCGTACTTTATAGACTTTTTATAAATAATAAGATAAAAATCATATTGACTGTTTGGTTTTGCTTAAAAACATAAAATATAGGAGTTTTTCATAAAAGAACAGCACTTTTTTTCTACTGTGTCAACATGTCTTCCAATATAGGCTTTGTGCTAAAAGAATTAAGTCAAAGTGGGACATATACCTTTGATGAAGACATGCAAGTTGAGGCCACATGAGAGTTTACTACAGAAGTGGAAAAAGTGGCAGTAGACTACAGGACAGGCTGTAAGAGGGTGTAAACAATCCCACCCTGTAAGTGTAACACTCACTGAACTGGATTATACCTCTAAGGACACTATTCCTGAGCTAATAAGTTGTAAAAGTGCAGTGAAAACCTAAATATTCATGCGGAGTGCCTCTCCCAACCCATCGGGCGCTGTCTGTCTGACCAGGGGCGCTTTCCTGTGACTTGGTGCTGAACGTCTCTTCCTCTCCCCGGCTCTCTGCGAGCGGCACAAGAAGGAAATAACTAGTTCTCAATATTTCCGAAAGAGACGGTCGGAGTTTACCGCCGCCGAGTAATGACATCTCTCCCAACTTTTTCACTCAACCCACTTCGTCGGCGGGGGCGCACCTGAAATAGTTCAGCACCACCGTTGTAAAACCCCGCCGGGCTCCCTATTGTTTCTACGGCTTTACTATCAAGGCAGAGGGAATGGCTCTTTAAAAGCCAAGAACGCGGAGAGAGGCGATACGCTGGAGAGGTTCTCCATTTCTTCCCCCGCTTCCCAGTTAAAATGCCCACAGTAGCGCTCTTTCACCCGGGGTTCACCGGCCGGCGACACCGCCGACAGTCGTGTGTACCTTACGGAGTGACACAAGTCTTAAATTCGGTCCAGTTTCTCAATCATTTGGGTCATTACATTCCTCGTTTTCGCTTACTTACCTCCGCCATTCCGTTTCTGCGCAAGCTGACTATTGCCCGGATGTTGTAGGTCTGCTCTGCTGTACAGCTCCGTTTATTACTGCCGCAACGATTCAGCAACAGCGACGGTGCTACAGTTAGGTGCAGAGTTATATTGACTATTTCCAAGTAATTTAGCTATTTTTGTCTCGCTCGACAGCTGGGATTTGCGAATTTCACCATAGTTTTGGATAAGTTCCCTCCCACTTTCGGTATCACTTCTCAAGTATGTTGTTAGTGCAACATATAGCTTATATTTTAAAGGAGAATGTGAAGCTACAAGTCTTGTTTAATATATTTTTACGGTCGTGTCCTATTTTATAGGCTGTTAATATTATTTGGCTCCCGTGTTGCGCCCTCTGCTTGTTTAAACAACAGGTTGGCGCTGAATATCATATTAAAGTTAAACTTAAATGCCAATATGGTGCCTATAGGCTCGTGTTGGTTATGATGTGCATGAGGGAGGGGACAGGACATGGTCAAAACAGATAAAGATAGGCTATTAGGCTCTGTCCTTCAGCCAATGACTGCTTACAGCTCAAGAGTTAATGTATATGTTTATCAACACGTGACATTACTCAACCACAAAAAAATACCAACCAGATCATATGATCTGACAGTACTAGTTTTGATAGGAAACAGCCACTTCAAGTGAAACACACATTTAAAAAAAACAAATATATAATCCAAAATTAAAACAGGTAGGCATTTCTTTCAATGATATAAATATAATATTTTTTATGGGTAACCCGCTGTAATAAACTGTACATATTATGGATCCTAATTTCTGGAGTTTCTTCGTCCTTACGATTACTTGCAAAGTAAAACAAGAAAAGTTATCACACTGGTCACATTACTTAGTCTACATCTAGATCTTTTTTTAGAGATATGGTAGTTTTGGTCCCTATATGGATCATCGGTACAGACCTGAGCACTTCCCTTTCCTAAAAGTGTTTAAATATCAATGTAAGGGTACATCTACTTTAATATGATGTTATTGAACTAAAGTGTCTGGACAGTTAAGTGAAGTTATAGTGGCTCACTAATGAAGTTGTAATGCATAAACTAAACATGGACCTCACATCGTTTTCACCCATTTCTTATCAAGGGGATCTTTGCTTATTGTTGTGTCTATGGATGTGTTTAATGAATAAAATAAAGTATTTATCATTTAGAATTAAAGATGCACAATGGAAATTACACAATTCAATGAATATGGGCTCAGTCTAAAATGTATAGTACAAATCAGACCAGTTTTAACTCCATGCTTTCAAGCTTTCCAGCTGTCCTCAGTTATTATGCGTCAACAGGTATTGCAGAGAAAAGAACTGGGTTTGTGTTCAACAAAAGGCTAAACCACACAGAGAAAACAGAACAAAACACAATTGTTTGCAGGGAGAGTGTGACTGCATACTCTGGGTTTTCTAACTGTGTCAGGTCTACTTTTAGTGTATAGAAATGTTGTAATCTGAATGGCATGAGAAGGTATGGTTTGTACTGCCCAGGAAAGTATTTGGGGTGAGTATCTTTGAGTATGTGTGTGTGCTTTAATTTCTCATTGTGATGGGTATGTAGCTGGTTAGTTGGTTTTGCTATTTAGAGTTTTGCACAATAAGGATTTGAACCCTAAAGGATAAACAGGATATACTGTACAGAACAATAGATGTTAACCTACTGGAAATCAATTCAGAGCCACACAATTGTCACAGTGTTTAACAACTGACAGGATAACAAAAAGCTGCTGACCTGTACACACAGTGTAGACATTTCCAGACAAACATGGACTTTTTAAATAATAGAAACAGTCAGTCATGTAGCAGACGCGCACACATCTGCTTCATTAATTAATCTGCATATCTAATATTTTGTGTTTCATGTCTGCAGCTGGTATGAACTTGTGAGAGGTTTGGGTGCAAACCTGGCTGGATCAGGACAGTATATAAGGTGTTCATCAACAGATAGTTCCTCCCTCACTGAAAGACCTCTCCTCTCTTTAATTACCTCCAGTGAAAGGGTTTTAGGGTTATACGAGCAAGAGCACTTTGTTGTGTCTCTTGTTTCGTCAGGGTCTTTAATTCTGTGTGGGTGAAGAAGAAAAGCTGTTCACAAGAAGAGCAATTTAATTGTTTGTGTTTTGATGAGGAGAAAGAGGGCAATTGTGTAATACTTTATATTAAAGCCCAAGAATGTAGTGAAATTTTGTTTTGCTGTACATATGAGGTAAATGCTTACCAGTCGAACAAGTCGAAAAATCGAAAAGGGAAAACAAGAGACTTGGAAAGAATGGTTAATAATTCTCATTTACACAAAAACCTTTTTTATAATCAGATACCTATAAAACATTTGCAGGATGCAGTAATATCACCACTAACAAAACTAAAAGTGTGGGGAAAATGAGGTAGCAATACTGACATTCTGATATACGTCAACAGTAGCTATGGTATATATTCAAAAATTGTAAAGAAAAAATAGTTTGACAAATAATCCCAACTCAAGGTCCACTTGCTAGCTTTTTTCCAAAGCCTTTAATCATGTCACATGGTTTTTAAGTCAAAGTCAAAGTCAAGAATGACCTTAGCAAAGATAAAACTTGGGAAACAAATGTTAGTTTTTGGTAGGTACTGTGATTAAGTGTATGGTGTGTAAATATTAGTTTGTTTTTAATTACCTAAGGGGTACATTAATGTTGTTACCAGGAAACAATTTTAAATTAAAACACGTCTTTGGTGTCAATGTTTTGTTGTGGTACGGCATGTGTGCATTCTTGAAGTTGTTATTGGGAAACAAAACAAGAAGTCTGGGGAAAAAAGGGTATTGATGAATCTATAATGCTGTTTGGTTATAAAATGAGGAACTTACTAAATATACTATGATAATGGGGGAGATTCTGAAGGAAGCTTGTGCAAATATAGTTGCCCAAACACACACGTGTGCAGGATATATGCCTGAGTATTCGTTTGCATACTCCTGAAGAGTGGAGGGGTTTTGTGGTTGCGTATTTGTCCTGACATGATATGGCAGTATAGCATCTGTTGGTGAGGGCTTAAGTTAAGTAAGATTGTGGAGCTCTTCAGATATACCCCTGTAGTATGTGTAGTGATAGATCAGTAAGGAGAAAAACTCATTGTTAGGAGGCTGCTCAGGATACTGGAGTACAATGACACAAAAATGGTGGGTTTATTTAAACAAATTTAAGTGTAAACTTTGCATGCTTTTCTCCCTTTTTCATGTAAACATAATGTTATGTCAAGTTCTTTCTTTTTTTCAGGACAAATTATTATCTTGCTGTGTTTTTTGCAATGGGATAGTAGATCATAATAGGAGAAAGAGTGCATTGTAGACTTCAGCCCACAGGGTGCAGTATGGACATTGCCACATTCTGGATGTGGCAATAATAAAGAAGAATTTGCAGTGCATCATGGTGAACTGGGCATTGAACCATGACCCAGTGGCAGGGAGCACTACCTGTGTTCCCAGTGATGAAAGCTGTATGTCAGGCAGAGATTATGCTTAGCGGCTGATCATTGTTTTGTTTTTATGCTTTAATGCTTTTATGTGTGTTTTCTCAGCCAGTCTTACTTTTTATATGCCTAATCCCACTTTTATCCTTCTCTCACTTTCTGTCTCTCTTCATGGCATATTTACTGTGAAGTGCACTCTATGTTCTGTGGTCTGTTATGCTATAGTGTAAAGTGCTATGTGAGCACCCATAAATAGCACATTCCACCATGGTTGTCTTCATTATTCAGTCTGTGGGTTATGACTTAGGCCTAGTGATAGTTACATTCCAGTGTGCCTCGTGGACTTTTTTGCTGAAGGGAGCAGAAAGTGAGAAAACTACAGATACAGAGAGGACAATACAAACTGAGTCCTGTAAACATTCAGACTTTGAATTGTTCATTAGAGCGTGCAGAGATGGCACACTGTTCTCATACAGTTTAATAAGCATGCTTTTCATTTCTTTTATACCTCTTTCATTCTTTCTTTTAAGATGGCGATTTGGGAGGGGGTCTAGAAGCAGGTCTGCCCGTCCTCCCTGAGACTCAACTGAGATCAATGCTAACCTGCTACTCCCAGGCGCCCCAGATGTTACAGTAGGAGTGAGCTAACAGGCCTTACTTACAAAAACAAGAAAACTAACCCTGCTGCGAGATAAAGGTGTTTGTATGTGATGATGGTGGTGATGTATGGAGGTTCAGGATGGCTAGATGGGAGTGAATGCTGGTCAATCTCCACACAAATAAGAACAAATTTGCCATTTAAAATGTGCTTATATTATTGCCAGTAAAGATGAAGAGTTTCTCAGTGTGAACCAGCTGGACTGGGGTTGACCTTTTCCTGCATCCATCCATGACTGATTTCTAGAGTCCCGCGACTGTGCATGCGTCTGTGAGTCACCATGGCAACCACTGAGCTGTCATAAGAGTCTGCCACAAACCGAGATGTCACCCATACAGTATGTCACCAAAACGAGTGATCCCATGAGGCACCATGTGACCCTATTCATGACCAAAGTATATTGATTCTTTTTAACCATGAAAACTATTTAATGGTTATTTAATGCACCCTGAATACATCCTACGGATGGGGGACAATTTAAAGAGAAAAACCAACACAAATCTCCTAGTCTCTGGAACCCCCTCTATTCTCCCATAGGTGTTCAATTGAGTCACATAATCTTCATTCTCATCAAACCATTAAATTAACCCTTGTGTCCTGTATGAAAAGATTTGCATTTGTCATGTTTCTCCTCTCATTCATTTAGGTTTCTCCTTTAATTTGTCCCCCATCTGCAGTTCTGGGCTGTTATGATAGTGACACAAATACATCTAGCTCGCTGCTATAACCAGACCAAGTAGAGAATGGAGAAAGAATACGTAATTCTATGTTAGTAAGTATTTAAAGGAACAGTGTGAAGGATTTAGTGGCATCTAATGGTGAAGTTGCAGATTGCAACTGAATACAGCTCAGCCTTCCAGGCGTGTAGGAGATACTACGGAAACTAGCTAAAAGCATGACAGCCCCTATCTAGAGCCAGTGTTTAGTTTGTGTGTTCTGGGCTACTGTAGAAACATGGTGGCTCAACATGGAGTGATTATACACAAACAAAAACATTTTAAATGTTGCTTTAATTAGTGTACTGTACTGCAAACTTTGAGAAATACAAAATAATACAATACAATTGAATATTATACATATTATATTCAAACGTCTAATGTAGTTCCTTATTTGACCAACTAATTGGAAAAGAATGGAAGGAAGGAGTCATTTCCTCATTCCTCAAGGTAGTTCCTGGTAATGACTTTGCATTTTCTATGCTTGACTGGTCAACACTAACACGTTCATCAGCAGACTAACCATTGCAGCTCACCCGCAAAAAATGACGCTCGAAACCACAGGAGAACATACACATATTTGTAAACTTTAAGTGCTTTTGTCTCTTCTCCATGTTGAGAATAAGGTGATTGTTGTGTTCAAAATTAAAAGTAAAATATACTACACACACTACACAAATACTACACTCAGCAGTAAAGTGCTATTGTTCCATGTAGACAGTGGGGAAATCTAGTAAGTCAGTGCATGTGAATGTTATACTGTATACATTTCTTGGTAAGCCACCCGTCATCATGCAGATCATATCATTTTAACACATAGCTCTGATACATTTACAGTTTCTGGATCAGTGGCTGTAAAAACAAACTTCCACATCCAATTTTGAATCCCTTGTGAAAACACATCAGTGTGAACTGTACACATAATGTACCTATAGGAGGGAAAATCATTCAGCTTCTACATTGTTTGTTTATTATTTCTGGACATTTCTTTGTGATTTTAGAAGGGAGTTTGGAGGTTGTGTCAGTCTTGCATATGTTTCGTTATCCACCGAGTCGTGGTTTAGATTAATTGATCATTTGTCCTCTAAATATATTTTCAAAATGAATATAATTTACAAGAAGGGATTAACATAAATATGACTCTAAAGTTAAATGTCTTCACAGAGACCAGAACACAATACTTGAAGACAAAAAAATGTCTATTATACAGACACAGTGAATAAAACATATGCGTCTTTGCTTTCAGGAGTTCAATTTTACAGAATTTAAATATATAATGGAAAGAACCCTAACCCACACCCATTACATAGTTCATAATGGAGTATACAATACAAAAGTCCATTATGAATGCTTCTCTTGCTGTGATTTTCTCTTTTGTCTTTAGTTACATTACATTGCATTACATTAGTTAGTTAGTTTACATTACGTTTGCATGTCTGTTTTAGGTCCAATTTAAGTATAAGAGTATATGATTATATGTTCTAACTCTGTAACTACCATTCCACAAGGGGGCAATGCTGTCCTGTGCATGGGTTGAAACTTCAACATGGCAGCAAACTATTTTCTCATATCTACAACAACAACTTCGCCAAGTTGTACAAAAGAAATCAAGTGTCCAAAATGGCAAGCCCAAAAATGGCAAACGGTTTGGTAGTCTATCTTCTGTTCGTTTAATATGTGGTGTATGTGTTTAGTGCCTGTCTGGCTCAGAGATAAGAGATTACGAGCAGATCAGTGGAGTCATAAGTGGACTAATTTTCAATCTGCAGGCTGCTCTGTTTGCTCTCAGGTTTCTGCATGCATACTAATATGACTCATGTCTCTGTCGCCAATTTGCATTTTTTATGCATTGAAAGAGTTGTTGTTTCATAATATAGAGTACACCAACACGACTGTGACTAACACAGAGTACCTGTAAACCTTTCATTGTATAATTTTCACAGACATACCAGTCAGTACCCTTTTTTGTTCATTTACTGACAATGTATACTGTTATTTCTCTTTCTGTCTCTTTCTCTCCCACTCCCTCTCTAAACAGGATGTTTGTGTCTCAGAGGGGCTGCCGGCAGCAGACCAGTACAAAGCTGATGATCAGATAGCGTGGCTGTGGATTGCCCAGTTCTCCCAGCGCTGTGACAGATTAACTGGGATTTAGGGCTTCTATTCGGATTCCCCACTAAACCAACACACCGCAAGAGACAGCAAAACACAGGAGGTCATGCAGCCAACAGCATGCTTCCCCTGGGCTGCTGTTGCCTTGACAGTGAAGCTCCCCTGCCCCTCCATGTTTTATTTAAAATTGCTTCTTATCCTCACATTGTTTTTGCCAGACAAGCAGTGGAGTGATGAATATGACAAAAAGAAATAATAAAGGAACTGACCAGAGAGGTCTGAGTGTCCCACTTCTTATCTAAAGGTGACAATAACTGACATGTTTGTGTGCTCAAGCACTCACAAGCATTGTCACACAACAGGAACCAATGTGCTTTATGATACCTAATAAGTCAGGCTACAATGATGGTTACACTCAAAGGTGATATCATGAGACTCAGGAGGCTTTTGTTTCCGTGTATTGTACTGCTGTGCGTGTGAACTCACCATAGTTAACATCAGATGCCTGGCTGAGCTGGGGTTTGTGGGGCACAGGATCTGAATCATGAGTACAAGTTGTTTCATGGAAAAACAATGTTGCACAAGTGTGAGTTATCTAAGTACAATTTGGTGCTCTGCAGTCACAGTAAGAGAGCTTATAATTAAAAGTGTGACAAAATTATTATTATTTTTTTCCTAAGCTATTGAATAGAATTCATTGTCTGATCATTTATAGCAACAACCAGACTACAGTGTCACTTTTAATCAATTGTGGGTATAGATTAGAGTAAAAGCAACAGCAGGAAAAGGGCTGTAGTTGCAGTCATCTTATAACAGTGTGTTCTGTTCTCTTGTTTTATTAATAGTCTGATTCACTTTTACCATAGAAGAAGAAGTAGTTTTCATGGAAACAGTGGAGGGCATTTCCTGTGAGACGCAATGCGCTCAAATAAAAACACAGGAGTGGAAAGATGTGTGTGCCTGCCCTGCGACTCTGCCCTGTCCCGTTTTAGTCTCTCTCCACCCTCCAACCCCTGTGTCGCTCTCTCTCTCTCGTTTGTGACTCTCTGGCCAAACCACTCCTTTCCTTACATTGACCATTTTTGGCTCTAATTCACTTCATAAGTAGCTCAAAAGGAAAGTTGGGTGGAAAAATATTCCGTTTTCGAAAGGTGTCACTTTTCAAGTTGCTGATGTGAAAACATGCCTAATGATGTCTGTCCGATAAAAGGATAAACAGAATTCTATTTTGACCCAGAAGAAGCATCAAAGGAGGTCAAACATGGGCCCTAGAAGTGCTCACCTACAATCTGACTGACACAACCAATTCTCTGTTGGTAGGATTTCCTTGCATGTTGTTTTTTTTCAAATATGCACAAGAACCTGAGTGTGAATTAAACCAGTAAGTGGTGTCATTAAGTCACTGACGCCCAGACACATAGGCCTTTCACACAGAGGACTCACTGCTGTGTGTACACACATGTGCCATAGATGCAGCGCACAACCAGTCTACTGTTTGAATCCACAGTTAACCCGCGATCATAACCAGCCCCCTTTTACCTCCCCACCATCATATGGGCTGAGAGTGGATATGGACTGTTGAAAATATTACATCACTACTCAACGGTCACTGGTTTTTAAATACTCTGAATCATATGATATTACCACTTAAAAGGTGGAACTTGTGGTACATGAACATGTTCAAAAAGTTTGTAACTGCTTAATTTAAATGAGTCTTGCTTCATCTCACAATATCATGTGGCCAAATAGAATTTTTGAAGTGCATTGTAACAACTACCGTAAATAAATAATAACAACAACATCAACAACAACAACAACAACAACAACAACAACAACTTTTTAGGATAACTGTGCCAGGCTTTAGTGATATATATTCATTTACACAAGCTCAATGTAAAAAAAAAAAAACCTCCGTAGGCTGTGCCTTCCTCAGTTGTGTTTTTCAACAATTGTAGTTTGTTAAATTTCCACAAAGACTGCTTCTCTTTCAACCCTCTAAAGCTATATTTGAACTGAAATTTTCCAGGGCAGCAAGAATGCCAAGTGAGCGAGTGCCTTCGTGGTGACGGTCTCGTAGAGCTGGCAGTCCACTGAGAGGTCACGTCTTTATCTTTTGGTCTGCATCCATGGAAAACAATCCACTAGGCTGAGAGCTGCAGAGAAAACATGAAGTCCAGCAAGCCCTAAACTTTTTGGAAATACCAGTTTCGATATGTTTTCCTTCACTCCATCTTGATTAAACTTTATCCTGAGGAGTACCTTAGCCTGGTAATGTGGACCCAAGCAGTTCTGGAGAATGTCACAGTGTAGCAGGATTAAATTGAAATATATGTGCCGGGGCCAGACACATTCCAAAATACACAAGATAAGATCTCATTTGCCAGCTCTCGTGTTTCAAAATATTTTTAAGATAATATCTAGAACTTGGACTATGTCTAAGAAATGCATGCGTCAGAATGGGTTTTAAGCAACTGGCAGTGTAGTGAAGGTGATAGATGTGTTGGAGACATATGTTCACTTTCCTGTGTTAGTGGTTTGATTGTTTTGGTTTCGACTCCAGGGAACACAGTGCAGAGGTCCAAGGCAAGGGAGGGGTTGTAGCATTTGTGTGTGTGTGTGTGTGTGTGTGTGTGCATGAGTCTGTGCATATGTTTGATTTACTTGTGGAGATATTGGGTTTGTGGTGGTCCAAACTGCTGGAAAGGATGATCTCAGAAAGCAGACAATTCTTTAGTGTTTATATAGAGGGCACATAAACCATAGACAGACCTGGATCTGACACACCATTATTGGCTCCTCTGTTTGCAGCCCTCCTTGTTTATTTTCACACTGCATTCCCTGCATGTAACCCCTGCCCACCTCTTCCACCCCTCTCTCCTCTCCCTTGTTCCCTTCACACTCCATCAATAAACAACTCATGACCATCACAGTCACTCTTTCTAGTCCACCATTGAAGCATGCTGCTGTTGGACCCCCTCCGGCTGCTCTGCACCACCAAACTCCCACAGCACAGGGACAGGGAGGACAGATGTGGGATGGCTGGTTTTGGCTGGGTAGAAGGTGGAGGAGACTGCTGTGATCTCAGCAATGTGCTGGACCGTGATGTGTGAGACTTATAAACACAGGTGGACCGCAGCACTGCAGGCCAGGGACTCCAGTGTGTGTGTGGTTGTGTGTGTGTGTGTGTGTGTGTGTGTGTGTGTGTGTGTGTATGTGTCTGCTAGTGTGAGTAAGGCGTGTGTGTGACTCCACAGATAGACTGCAATGACATATGCCCCACAGATGCCTAGAACTTCTACAAAATACAGTGTACAGTGGTTGAAAAGAGGATTAATTAGTGCTGTGTGCTGTTCCATATGAGGAACGCTTGACATAGCATAGACCTTAAAGTCATTGTGTCAGTATCAGAAACAGAGAGGATTTTAAAAGGAGTAAAGTACTCAAACTCTTCCCTTAAATAAAACAGCACAATAGAAAAGATTGCTCTGCTACAAATAAATGTTCTTCATTGAAAATTGTATTTAAGTAAATGTCTAAATGTTTTCATAGTATTAAAAGTACTAAGCAGAATGATTCCTTTCATAGTGTTATGTTATTATGTAGATTATGAAAGTAACTAAGTACTGTACTTAAATTCTCCTCTTTTATTTTGCTACATTTAAAGGCAAATATTCTTTGTTTTACTCTAGTGGAATACATCTTTCATCACTGTATATCTTATCATATTATTGGATTACTATTGTTGATGCATTTACATGTAAGCAGCATTTTATTGTTATAACTGAGCAATTACAGCAGTGAAGTGCAATATCACTTTTTAAAATCTAGCCAAGTACAAACTATAATGTTTGAGTTAAGTACAAACATCTCAAAAGTGAATTAGGTTCAGTTGAGAGAATGTATTTAGTCTTTGTCCAATGCGGCTATTTTCTACAACCTATTTCCAAGTATTACAATACAAGGAAATGTATGGTGGTTGTTAAAACATCTGGCCTTAGAGACCAGATGTGGGATACAGACCTTGACCAAAAAGCCTATATATATAATACTAAAAGATAAGTTAACTTTACTTCATGCATGTTAAAAAGACAAAAGCAGATCGACCATTTCAAACTTTTGTCACTCATTCACATGCATTTTATTGGGTTTACTTGGTGGAGTTTTGGGCCCTCAGTCAGCTGTCACAGTGGCCCTGTCTAATGAGATGTGAAGTGTGTGTTTTTAGCCTTTATTTTGTCCAACGTGTCTCTGGAGCCAGGGAGCTTTAGGATGGCCATGCCTGATGGCTGGCCTGTCTTATTGTTGTTGCTGGTTGAGCGGTCACCATGGTAGCCTTTACTACCTCTGCAGATCTCTATCGAGCCTTTCTTTATGTGGAGCATCGCCGCGTCACACAGGCCACAGAGCCCACTGTCACTGAGAGGCTGTTAGCCCGGCTGTGACTGATTGCTATTCACACAGTAATTCATTCACAAACATACACCATTCATTTCACACAGCCACTATGTCAGGGTCACATGCTGGGAAAATACCTCTTTGAATGAGCACACGAATATGCCAACTAACTCCACTCTTAGATCAGTAGCGTCACATCCACGATGCTTTCCTCACAATGTTATTCATGCATTTAATTTCTTGGTTATAAAACTTCCTGATAGATTTAAACACTTCATGAGAAATAAAACCTCCTGAGTCATATAATGATTCAAAACACATTGTGGTTGTGGCTTGTAGCAGTAACTCATAATAGGGAGAATGGTGCCTGTTTTTGCACTGTACCTCGGGTTGTAAAACTGAAAACCCGAGCTTCGACCGCTGGTTTACACCTCTAGCACAGGAGCTTTAGAGAGTGGGCAACAGAATCTCTATTGACATCATATAGAGAAAGTGACCGACCAAGAAGGTGGATAAGAGTAAATCTAAAGTCTGCAAGACAGACACCAAGCTGCCCTTCTAGCTATTGGACTAGAAAGTATAGCTTGCTATGCACTCTGAAACTGTAGGGACGCTAAATCACAAAAATACTGCTTGTAATATTAATATTATTCTTAAATTTGTTGCTTTAAAAGGAGACTCTTGTCCAAGTTGCCATATATTTGTGTATCTGCATATATGCATTCAGCAGGTTTATATAGGCACATAAAACATTATATGTATATAGTATATGATATGCTTATGTAGTTTATCTAATTTATGTATTTATGTTTGCAGCTTTTGTGAGGGGCTGTTGTCTTTACACTATGTTATAACACTATCAATTGTAAAATGTGGTG